TGGCGTGAAAGATGGCACCGGGGTCTTGCTTTGCCACACTAGGCTCTAATGGAGGATTAGCAGCTGCTGTTTGCACCACTCCTGATCCCTCTGGGTATTTTTTCAAGTCAGAGCTAAATGCATTTAAAAAAAACAGAAGAAATCAAACTATGTTGAGAATTCTACAGTTACTGGTAACCACTTGACGCCGATGGTGGAGGCTTCCTGCTGCATTAATGCTCAGCATTTGAAAATCTAGCCTGTCGCTGTTAAAATGGTTACAATACTGAGGCAAAGAGCTGATTAGTGTCATGCTTTTGTTCAGTCCACCTCAGGCCTGCAGGGCTCTCACACTTGCAATCCTGCTCAAGGCAGCCCTCACCACAGAGGTGCCCTGTGGCCTGGGAGCCGACATCAACTCCGCACATTGAGATGCCCGGCTGTGCCAGGCACTGCAGTGCTGCGGGGTTCGGAGCACAGGCAGCAGTCACCATCCCAGGGACCTCTTTGGGCAGTAATGAACCTGAATGCTGCATCTTTCGGGGTGGCTTGGGGAAACTGCTTTGATTGTCAGTCCAAATCGCTCTCACACAATGGCAGGGAGCACCACACACACACACACACACACAGACTCCTTGGGCCACACCGTTTCGCTGCTCCCACTGCCAGCTCCCCCCAGCATGACAAGGCAGGGGCCAGCACTTCCCAGAGGACTGTGGTTACAGTCAAGCACATTGTTATCCTCTCCAGAAGAAGGAATCCTCCAAGATGCGCTGGGGAAACTCCCCAAAATTGGGATGGCTACAGCCCTCTTCCAACCAAGCTCAAGGAAAGGAGCACCCTGGCATCACATGCACGTGGAGACAAAAAGGTGCTGAAACACCAGGGCTGAGCACTCGGCCGAGTGTGCAAACACACACAGAAGCAGCGGACAGAGACAAGAATCAGGGGCTGCACAGTGGAGCAGACCATACCGGGTTCCTCAGAGCATACACATGCGTACAGAGTGCACATTTGTACAAATCCTCGTGGAAAGAAAAAAAGAGGAGCAGATATTGCCATTTTGGCAATGCACCTCGCACGCGGCCATCAAGAAGGCCAGACCCAAAGGAATCAGCGCTGGAGAAAACACCAGCTCTTGGAGTGGCCGGACATGAGAGTTAGTGACACGAAGACAACACATGGAGTGAACAAAGAAGAAAACAGACCAGCTTGGTTAACATCTGTGCTCTGCAAGCACAGCAAAAACACAATAATCTTGACAGCTTCCTCCAGACCCAATGGCCTTTTCAGCTGCTGTTACAAAACACAAGAGGAGAAAGAAGCAGCAACACGACTTCTGCTTTAGAATCCGTTACACCCCCAGTGTAACCCTGGCCCTGCTGAAGTGCATGCTGACAAGGTACCAGAGAAATGTCTGCAGCAGAATGTCCACCCTGCAGCCCTCCCGTGGCAAGGGCAGCTCGAGGGCCAACAGGGAGTGCATCCCGGAGCAGCGACCTCGCAGGCTCCACACAGCTCCAACCCAGGAGCTCCTCAAGGAGCCGGGAGCTTTGCAGTTCACAGCAACTGGATCTTACGAGGGAGCACCCTCGCTCGCACCCTCGCCATGTTCTTCTCTGAAAGGCTTCTGAGATCTGTAATCAACTTAAAATTTGCTATATCCAGGTAGTTTGAGCAGTCAGGCCTGGTCTTTTTATGAAAAAGCAGCATTTTACTCAATCACGAGACACAGATTTTGCCACTGATTAAAAAAAATATATATACACAACAATAAAAGAGGGACATTATTCCAAAACCAAAAGCAATTGCAGTTTTCTCTTTTATCTCACTACACCACAGACTGAGAGGCTCATGTTCCATGTGCCTGTGCAGCAAAAGGCTTCCTGAGGAGCCCCAGAGCACAAGGCCCAAGAGGCCTGTGGTGGTGCCCAGGCCTGTGGTGCTGCAGGAGGGCTGCATCAAGCGCAGGAGCACGGCAAAGCAGCCAGGTGCCCCGAGGAACTGGGGGACCAGGGGATGTGCTCGGCGCTGGGAAGGAAGCAGCGCGGAGCTGCACGGCTTTCCTGCACGGAGGGTGAGTCGAGCGGCTGCTGCTTGGTGCTGCCGGCCCCATCGCTGCGCTGGCACCGGGTCACCCATGAGTACCCAGCCAGCACGGGACGAGCCCGGGGGTTCGGTTCTGCAGTACCGGGAACAGCGGCTGCGGTGCATCAGAAGCAATACTCTGCTCTTACACATTAGTGCAGACTGGAAAAGAAACAGCAAGGCAGCCTTGGATTTGTAACAGGGCAAAGAAACGTTTCAGCTATTTTTGCTAGCAAAAAAATGAACAAAAAGGGAACTGAACAAAAAGCAATTCAAAATACGGCATCCTTGAGAAGGAAAAAGGCATTCTCATAAACCCTTCAGTCTCCTCCGTCACCAGGTTCGGGGACCTCCTGCCCGCTCCGGACAACAGCCGGGCTACAAGGAACACGTTCCAGTGTGGTGCCAAGGACGCTGCGCCCAGGCCGTGATGCTGCTGAAGGCACTTTCTGCTTCGTACAAAATGGCACTCCAGAAGTAACTGGTCAGTCCACAGGGGCTTACATGGAGGCGAGAGGTGCCTCAAAGCAAGGCTGTATATGGCTACTTCTATGGGAAAACGACAGTTTTTCCATTTGTTCTGCAGCACAGCACTGCGCTGAGCAGCGGCCAGGGCTCAGCGGGACTCACGGGCTTGACCTGTGATTGCTACCCAAAGCTGGAGCCAACGGCCACCACCCGCCTCGGCATGCCGCGTTCGGGGCACATTTAGAACTTGCACGTTCTCCAAGTTCACCAGGGCAAATAAGCAGCACCTAACTTTATTTTTGAGACAAACAGATTCTGAAAATGCTTTAATAGTTCAGGACAGCATAATGATATTATTTTAAACTGAAATTCAGGCCAAAATTTATGTGAAAATAGGAATTTGAGTCACAGAAGCTGCTTCAAGTTGTGTTTGTTAGCAAGAACTGCTGTGGCAGCCCATCCTCTCACCAAAGATTTCCAAAACATAATTTGGACTCCGGAACCAACAGTTACTCCACAATCAGAAATTTTGCTACAAGCAAGTGCCTGCAAAGCCATTTTTTAACGGCAGCATTTCCTATTTCTAGGAAGTCTAAATGTTTGTTCCTAATCCTAACTCGATTTAGGAACCTGTATCGCAGCATTAAGCAAATGCTACAAATCTAAACAGGGAAGATCCCCTTTATTTTTAGGGTTTGGGAACAGACACCTCAGTGCCAGGTGCCCTGGGGGAGGAAAGTGCTGCAAGATGAAGTAAAATGATCAATTCCTGGGTAAAAGCAACAACAAAAGAATTCTTACCAAGCATGTCCATCCAAACAAACCTTCCAGGACCTGCGGCAAAACCCTGGCCATAACCATTACAACAAACCTTAAGGACCTGCACAGAAAACAGAACTCCACCCCAATTCCCCATGTTCTTTCAGGCCCAGAGACGTGGGCACACACAAATGTCAATACCCTGGATGCCCTTCACACACAGAGCACACAAAGACTGGAAGAATTAGCAGTGAGTAACCGTGACTGCACCTTGCAGCAGGTCTCCCTGCAGGCATGTACTGCCTAGAGATGAGTCAGCCACCTGCTCCATCCTGGACAGAGAACTCCAAGAACACTTAGTAGATATATGTGTATATATAAACTTAATTATCTAAGAGGCATACCTTCCTTTGCTTGGTTCCTCCTTTTTCACTTCTTTTTTCACCACTGCAGCCTGAAAAATATAGAACAGTATATCTTGGGTTTCTAGAAGTAACAACCAAGAACCTACATCTCTGATCCCATCTAATTAACACCCCCATGAGCCCCAATTCAGGCAACACACAGGCTGAACGAGCACATCTTCTCCCACAGCTACAGGTGGCAGCTGAGCAGCATATAGAAAACACGGGCAATTTGACTTTTTCCAGGCAAACTGCATTCCAAGTCAAGTGTTACCCAGCATCAGAAAGCCCAAGGTTTGACTCTGTTCTTGCAACCTGCCAATGCAGCATTCATTTCCTGGAGGATGATCAAGCCTTCTTATGTTGGTTATATGGAAGAAATTATTTTAAATAGCGGGATGTTTTCTGGAAAGGAAGAGAGCAGCTCAAAGCCGCCCAGCTCCACAGCTATCGCAGCCAGCAGCACCAGCCAAGCAATCACACACTGGGAAAACAGCTGAAATCCAGCTCTGGAGCTGCCCTACCATCTAATTTGAGGACTGCCATCATACCTCAGCAGCCCCTGCACGGGGCGACAGCGTGCAGGTCAGCGTGTGTCCACCCATGCCGTACGGATTCTCCTGCAGGAAGCAGTGCATGGATTTAGCCGACTTGGCACTTTCCAGCTGTAGGATTGCCTAAAAGAAGAAAGGACAAACTTCATAAACACTCTGATTCCGGTCTGATTTCTTTAATTCATCAAATGTGTTCTGAAGTAAGCAGGAAGTTAAACTATTTTTCTTGCTGGTATCACGTATGTTCTGGAGATTGAAACCAAAGGGCTGTCCTCTTTCTGGGATGCTGAAGAAAGAAATCTCTCTGGTTTTAATTTATCTTTGGAATTAAATAAGGAGCTGCAAGGAGCCCTGTGTTCCCTTCTCAAGCGTGTCCAGACTTCTGTATCCCAGTGCGTCCGGCTTCAGCTCTGCTGGGAAGGAGGGGCATCCCCTCGCCAAGAGACAGATGCTACAACTGCCTATTAATAAAACACAAAAACTACACAAAAAAGTCTGTTATACTAAAAAAAATATGTCTTTCCCTTCTTTACCTCTTAGTTATCTCACACAAAATGATAAAACAGTTTCAACTGCAAAATCTCGAAGACTGTTACACAGGTTGTGTTTTAAAGATCGTATTATTTGTCTTTTTCTCTAATTAAACCTTGCATAAAAATGCTGCCGCTGTCCCTTCCATTTTCTTTCCAGCCTCCCTGTCCTTCCAGACTGTTCACTCCAATGCTGCCTACCGAGATCAGATCCCAAAGCCCTCGACAGAGCAGCTGTCTCTGACAAAGTGCTGATCCCATGGAATTAAAGCATTTGAGGGTCAGGTCAACAGAATTAGGCAAAAGTCTGGAAATTCACCCAAGGGCTTTTTCTGACTACTGAGTTCTCTCTTCAGTCACCTCTTTATTGCATTTTAAAAACTAATAAACGCTGCAGTTTCATAACAAGAAGTTATATCTTCTTGTTACAAGTATCTTCTGTTTCACAGGTTATTAGAAGCTTGGCAGTTATAATACCCCACAATAACTGCAGTAGGGTTGCTTTATAATGATTGTATCTAAACACTGATTACAAACAAACAGAGCATTTTTGTTTTAGAAAGTAGAATTTTCAATTCAACGTTAAGTGTAAAAATGGCAACGCTTAACATGTCAGAGTGTTTTGCAAATCAAGTCATATATATTCTGAACTGTCCAACAAAACCACAATAATTTGGGCATTTTCATTTCTCACTGCAAAACGTTCTTTTTCCCCAACTTTCCCCCGAATGGGAATTTATTTCCCCATCCCCTTCTTTCTTTAACATCCAAGATTATCAATGTGCCATTTTAGGAAGCTTTATTTTCACAACCTAGCAAACTGCACTGTTTTTATTCAGGACAGAAAACAGCCTGAAGTACCATTTTCCCCTTCCCCACTGCCCCCAACAAATAAGATAAACAATTTTCCTGTCAAAGTGAGTGGGAAGGAAGACCTATATTGAAGTCAGAAACTTTGATTTCCCATTAGCAGAATATTTTTGATACTGGGAGATGAAAACACTTTTTTTAAAATATATATATACGTTGTGTTTCATACAGCAGAATGAAACCCATGACTTACCTTGTTCCTGTTCTTCAGCACCACATAATGATCCACTCGCCCAAATCGCAGTCCCACACAAACCACTTCAAGTTCTCTGTATCCATCATCCGGCAAGTTCCCAAGATGCACAAATTTATTATGTACAGTTTCAGTATTTACCTAAATAAAAGCAATAAAAACTTGCTTTATATTAACTTCATTACATATTTTACTAACAACTACTGGGCTTTATTAGAAGCAGAGTCCCACAGAAAGGCTCTATATCACTCAGATCTCACCCAAAGAAAAAGCAGATTCACAAACATCAGATATTCATATTTTCTGATCACATCAGATTTAACTTCCCCATGCGGTCTATCAAAGGAAACAGCTATGCTCCCAGGAGAGGATATAAAACCTCAAATTGAGTGCTTTATTTTTTTAAAAAAAGTTTAATTTAACTAGTAAAACTTAAGCAATACTGCAAATATGTAGCTGAAGCTTAAATAAAATCTGGTATTTTGAAAAGCAGGTACAGTCTAATTAGACAATAAATCAGCCAAGGCACAGAAACCCATCTGAAAGATTCCAGCCCCATCTTTTAAGCTGGCTTTTGCTCACAGGGTCACTTTGCAATGACAGGAAGATCCTTGGTCAAATATACTCTTTTTGTGGGTATCCATTTATATATGAAGCTTTCTGTGAATCTGTGCAGAGATGAAGAATATTCTCTCCATCATAACAAATTCAGATTTTAATAAGCCTAGGAGGGTCTGTATCAGACACAATTAGTGTCTGATACGGCCGTTCTTAAACTCACTCTGGTGAAGTTTTTGCCAACGCTGTAAGCCCAGGGTCACACAGTCTGACCCAAAGCCTGAGCCTGTAGTAAGACTATCTTGAAGCTAAAACTAAAAGTATTTTTCACAGAAAATATATGGAAAAGCTATTCTTTCCTTAATATATACCGAGCTACACTGCATAAATCAAATTCCAGCAGTTTGAAAAGCTGCAAAGGAAGAGGAGACATTAGACTGAAGAAAGTGCAGAGACCAGAAAATCTGTCTGAAAAAGCAAGCAGCATTACTGCAAAATAGAGAGGCAAACACGACCAAATTCTCCCAGCTACAGTGGTTAAGGTCTCTGACAAAGCATAAAAACTCAAAACAGACCCATGACAGGAGGAGAGACTCTCCTACTAAACGTTTAATCCCTTGCACTTCATGTACCATGGAGCTAAATTAAGGGGACACCTCCTCCTCCTATTGCTTGTTCATTCTCACATGAAAACATAGATAAGCATATAATTAAAGAGCAAATTTAGATAACTATTCTGTTAATTGCTAGTATTTCAGTACCAGAAAGAGGGATGGCAATTCCAGATTAATGTATTTTGACAGCATTCAAAGGCAAAACTAGATTACCAGCAACATACCTTAGGATCAGAATCTTTAATAAGAGCAGTAAATATTGCTTCCTAAAAAACAAAAAAGGCAAAAAGGTCAGATTTGAACTGTAAAAAATGTGATTCATGTCGTGAAAGGGAGAGCAACTACATGAGGCAGAAACTGTGCCATGTGTTCAGGGTGTAAAGGACAGGTCATAGTGTCAGACAGCAGCACCCAAAAAGCTACTCCAACCCACTAAGTAAGACTTGCTATTTTATACTTCCGGAAAAAAAGTGTGTACAAAAGTCAGCTTGAATAAGGTAAAATCTTGTTCTGTATTTAAATTTTGTTATGTATCTTAAAATTTCAGTACTTCTCCACTTTAAAAAAAAAAAAAAGACACACTTACCTCATCTTTTAGAGTCTTGTACGGAGGTACCATGTTGATGCAGAGCTGATTTCCATCCAGGGACATTGGAAAGCACGTATAAAACTTAACCATCGAATCTGCTGATTTCCTATTTATTTCTAGATAGGCCTTTAAAAATAAAGCAAGCAAATAAGCAAATAAGCTGTAAGAAATTTCAGTTTTAGCAAAACAGTCTAAAACAACATCTCCTCCAATACATGATCACAGAGGTGTCTCTGGATAGAAGCATCACTGAATACTAATTAAAATACCTTTTTATGAGATGATAAAATTAAGACATCTCTCAGTCCTCCAAATGGCTTTGCTAGGTTGGAAACTTCCTCAGCGGAATATCCTTTTTCAGGCAGGTTTGAAATAAGAACCACACATGTATCATCAAGTTCCTGTAAACAGAAATGAATATAAGTCTCTAAATCCAAACTCATGCATTACAAAAAAGATCATTTATCATTACTGTGTAAAACTACCTTTACACCACATGAAGACTGAATTATAAACACTTGCTTAAAAATATCTAATTATACATGGAATAGCTCCAAAAAGCAAGCGTTATCCAAACCTTTTAGGATACAGAAAGTTGTAGAAAGTTCTAAACGGGATTCAAGTAACTTTATAGACTGACCTGGCTAATAGATTCCATTAATTCTTCGTTCTTTGTAGCCACTACAGCAGTGTCTTAAAAAAAAAAAAAAAGAGGGGGAAGTTACTTTAATAGATTTATGTTGCAGAACCTTAAAACTTCTTACACTATCCATACATTTTAATCACTTCTGTCATTAAGCAAATTGCAATAATCCATCATTCAACTCAAAAATATTTGTTTAGTTCATAAAAACAGAATTTCAGTATAGGAATAAAAGTCAGTTTGCAATTTACCTTGATCAATTAAAGCTTCATTAAACTGATCTGAGTCCGTTTCCACCACCTGAGACATCTGAACAAGTTTCTCTAAGAAAATAAATAAATAATAAAATTACAGCAGACATCACAACACTAAGTTTCACACAGCTTATAACTAGCAAAGTAACTTAAAATAGCACTACCCCATCAGAAATACCTATTGCTGGTGCAGGTTTATTCAGACTTTGGGCTTCAGTCTCTAAGGTCTTCACAAACTCTGCACCCGTGTCACCCTCTGCACCTTCCTTTGGTCCTAACAAGTTAGTTTCCCCAACTTCTATTTCTGGTTCTGTTGGTATCTTCAGATCCTCAGGGTAATTTTCTTTAGATGTTGCTGGAAAGTAACAAAGAGGAAAAAAAGTGTGTGTTATTTCAAAACACTGAGAAACAACTGATGTGCAAAACAGTCAACAATTCTCAGTCTGATACTCAAAAGCATCCTCTCTCCCTCATTACAGTTCAACAAGAATTCAGGTACAGGAAAGTCTCATTTCGTTTCAGCTTGGAAAAACACGGGTATTGCTCTATTCCTATCGGAAACTTCTTTCTCCTTGATACTTTGCTAGACTAAATGTGCAAAGAGCACGAGTTATCATAACATTAGCCATGTCAAGAGGTACAAAAAGGCTGCCTCCTCATCGAGGAATTTAGCACGCAGGCCAGTAATGGGGATGAAAGGCTGGACTCGCCACCTTCATTATTTGCTCTAGTTGCTGCATGGAAGGAGGTGGTAATGGAAGATCCCCCGCATGTGTGTGCCCAGGAAAGAGTAAAACTCCTCATTTGCCTTACCTGCAACACTGGAAGTTTTAATGATTTTACTATCTCCTGTCACCAAGGCTTTCTTAGGTATTTCTTTTTTATCTAAGGAAAATAACCCCAAACAAGTAGATTAATAGAAATGCTTATTCCTTATGTTTTTGAGAAGTAAATGCAACAAGAGCACAAAAATATGTACCAAAATATTCTAATCTGCAACCGAAGCGCAGTGAGCTCTAAGCAGAAGACACTAGCTATTTTAAAGCATGACACAAAGAAACAAATCTGAAAAGCTAAGTCAATTCCAACACACTATTGAGCAAGCTATGAAACAGAGTATCTTTTATAAATCTGTTTAATACCTTCCTCCTACAGAAAGGATTGTGTGTTCTTTTTCCCTCCTCTTTTAATTAACTGTATAAAAACCCCACTGTTTCCATCAGTGAGACAACTAAGCAGCTATTTACACACTGAAGAATGAATCATGACCGTGGCATTTTTGAAAAGCAGCTCCCCACCAAAGTCACATCTGGTCCCCAATTTGCTCAGGACAATTGTTCATGAAAGCTAACAAACTAATCAACAATAATGGTATGGCTACTACTGCTGCTGTCTCAGTAACACAAAGTTCTTGTGAAGTGTAACTGGCTTTTGAGGCATTTGCTGGGGCAAAGAGATTCTCTAATGACGTGACTTTGCCAGCTCAGTTTGAAACATTTTCCCTCTAGACCATTAAAAGACCAGGAGAAATTTAAAAATGCTTTAAACGTGTAAGGAACATAAGCTATGCAGAATCACTAAAAGTAACTGAGAAACAGAATGTTAAATATGTTAGGAAAAAAAAAAAGCCCAGAGGAAATTTAAAGAATAACACTATTTGACACAGCCACACCACACTTGCACAATTCAGGACAAACATTTAAAAATATGAAAATTTACTGAGGCATAAGCACAGGTCAAGTTCCAAAGGAAGACACTTGAGAGAATAAACCATTTTTGGTAGCTCTCTGCACCCGCTTTCAGCGGCTATGAAAGGAGCACTCACACTAAAACGGTGATAAGGAAAATGGAGAGGGAGGAGAACAAGCAAAGAGAACCTCACCTATAGTAACAGGTGTGGTTGTCTTGGTGTTGGTGTTCTCATCTTTTCTGTTGTGAGGAGGCAGAGGAAAAAAAGAATAAGGAAAAATCAGGTTCAAAGAAAACTAAAAGCAGCTGAAATTTCCCCAAAACATCAAGACCAAAGAAAGCAAATAGAGGCATAGATGTCTTTAGCTGCCAACTGTTACCAGTAAATGTGGTGTTAACGAATGGAAGGGCACACTTACTTTGTACTCGGTGCAACTTTTTTAGTAGTCTGAGCTATTTTTTTGATGCTTGTTTTGGCCTGCAATTTACAGAAAGAAGAACTTTTAGTGCCTGCGAACTTTAGTGCATCATCACATGACTATTACTGCTTCACTGCGCGCCACATCACCGCTTTCTACATTACAGGTTGTATCTTTTGCTGTTTTTTAAGCAGATACTGTTCAAAACCATCAATTTTAAGCAAGAAAAATGCAAAGCTGGGAATTGGTATTTGCAAGTTAGGAGGAAGAATATATAAATACTTTTTTTTTTTTTTTTTTTTCCTTCTAGGGATCATAAACAAATTTGCAGAGCAAAAGCACAGAGCTACAGAAAGCAAAGAAAAAAGGAAAATGTTGCTCTCCATCATGTGTTCACCTGGCCAGGAGGCAGCTTTGGCTTCTCCGCTACGCTGATCTTCACCCGTTTCCCATTGAGCAGCACTGGCACAGTTTCCCCGTATTTCACGGCTGCTATCACTGCTTCTCTGTAGTTCATTTCTAAGAAGGCCTAAAAGAAATGGCAGGTGCAGTTACACATTTATAGTATTGGTACAAAATAAGCAATTGGTTTTGTTTTTCTCTAGAAAACCTGCTCAAGTCAAAACTTGTCTCTCCAAGTTCATGTGGAGCTTGATGAAAAAGCACTTCAGTTTTACACAAAAAGCATCCTCAACCCCTCTAACAGCTTAGATGTAGCAAGCAAGTCTGGACTAACAAAGCTAAAGTCCCAGTTCTCTCAAATGTATCCATGCAATCTTTACCGACTATTTAAGGAGCTTTATCCTGTTAGCAGCTGAGGATCCAGGTACAAAGTATTTCATTGTCTGACAAAACATTTTGCATTCTGGACACAGAGACAACCAAGCCGGTGTGCAGGACAGCTTACCTCATTCCTGGAGCGGAGCACAAGGAGATCACTAACTTTGCCAAATGGCTGGACAATTTTTTTAATATCTTGATCAGAAAAGCCATCATCTGGTAAATCAGATATTTGAAGGACTGTCCCACAGTTCAGCAGTTCCTCTCTCAACAGCTAAAAATTAAAGACGAAACAAACCCCCAAATCACTGCACGCCTGAAGCAGACACAGCCCTTAGCCAGCTGTGGTATTTTGAGTATTATCATTTTTAATTCAAACATGGATCGACAGTTTTGTTCTTCCACCGCTCTTTAATTTTAGGCTCACCATTAAGATGTGGCACAGGAACACAAAACAGCATTGGAAATACTTCCCTTTTGCTTTTCAAATATCACCAAGGTGCACAATTCCTGTCACAAGGGCTGCAAGGGTAAGGAGCTGCTAAACTCCAGAGTCTCCTTTCAGTAGCACCTCTCAGCTCCAGTGGCACCAGGCAGTGTCCTCCGTTTGCCATTTAGAGGCCAGAAAACCTGTGTGACTGCTCCCACCACTGCACAACAGTAACCACAACACTGACGTGATCCACTAAGAGTTGCTCTAAGAGTGTCCCGTGGTTGATACGAGGGACTATGGTGACACTGGTTTAACTCCTCCACATGACAGGATCGGTAATTTCTCCATGCTTCAACCTCCCTATCTGCCCAGGGATAATTACCACTTTCTTTTTCCTATCCTTTACTCCCACTTGCACAGCAAATTCTTCCCAAGAGAGGTCATCACTCCCAATATTCATAAACATGCAGAGTGGAGACTCAGAATTAACGGGTGTTTATTCTGCTGTAAAGCAAACAGCACTCTCACACCTTCCACCTGCCCAAGTCCTCACTGCGTCGCCTACCAGAACATTGGTGCATGAACACAGCAACATCCATCACACAGAACCAGCAAACAGCTATTCATAAGAACAGCCAATCTCCCTCTAGGAATGACACACTAACCAAACCCTTCAAAATACAGTGAGAAATATTAAGAAACTCACCCTATTATATGCAGTAGGACAAGGACCACTGTTTTCCAGGAATAAATCTTCCTCATCCTCTTCCATTTCTCTGTTTTGGGGTGAATCATCCAGTTCAGGAGACTTGGATTTAGAAGCACTTGAGCCATGCAGAGGGGACAAGTCTCTCCTCGAAGCCTTTGGAGACACACTCGTTTTCAGCGGCTTCTTCATATTTCCAGGCATCTTCCCTAGGACTCCATGGGAAGGTGGTGATTTTCCTGCTCCTGAAGACCCTGGCCCAGCAGCTTGGGGAGGTTTGTGCTTATTGAACTCTGCTACAAAGCCAGGCCCCAGACTTTTCACCACCGCCTCCAAAGTTGCCTTTTTGTCTGTGAGGGGATAAAAAAGATTCCTATAAATAGCTACTTACTCTCATTAAGTGTAATCTATCTAGGTATGTGTGCGTGCAGAGACACAAACTGTCCAGCTCAACGGAGATATTTCTAGCAACCCTTCCTGCACAGCACCCGGCTCCTTCCCTCGCCCACACACACCCCAAGGCAGCGGGCACCGTGCTCCCCGCTCAGCCTTCTCTCCCAAGGAAGCACAATGCTGAGGTCACGTGTTTTCTTCGCCCCCCTAGTTGTTCTCTTTACACTCCCCTGGTCCCTGGCTCACAAATTGCATAAAAGGGTGCTCCCAAAAGCCAAGATTATTCTGGCTAGGCTGCTAACAGCATCTCGTGCCTCTTTTGTTCTTACATCCCACCATGACATTTGGGTTTTCTGTTATACTCTGTCACACCCCAAGGCATTCATCGTTCATTTTCTGTTATCACTCGGTGTCCTCTGAAAAGCTGCCAAAGAAATTGTTGGTCATTTGATATTTATGCAGTTGATTGCTCCTGAATTAGGAGGGAGTTATTATGCACTTGTCTCTACTGAAATGCACCTCATTTTTCCTGAACTTGTCAAGTTTCCTTTCAATTCTTGCTCTGCTCATCAATGCACCTTCTCACAAACATCGATTCCAAGGTTACTTCAATCAGTTAATCCACACTTGGACAAAGCGTATGAGGCCCAGCTGCCCCAAAGGTTCCTGCCTTCAAAAAGTGCCTCCTCCTCACCTCAAGCCTTATTTTGGCTACAGTTCGAAACAACCAGTGCAGATTTTCCTGTGCTAACCGCCTGCTGCTCAAGTCAAGACACAAAGCAAAGCTACTTCCTCTGCCCTGCCCCTCCCCTCGTTACAGCAGCACCGAGGACCACGATACTCCTGCTAACCTCCTCATCCTCACTCTTCATCACTGTGTCCTAAAGACTGATCTAAAGGCTCTAGTTTTAAATTATTCTTTAAGGACAGGCTACAGCTCATCTCCTGTACACCTTTGTTTTTATGGAGATCGGTGGATCTCGCTATTTACCTATTAACTGCCTTCTCCTCTCGGTCTTCTACATGGGTCTATGACAGTTTGTCGTTTACCCTTAAAAAGACCGCTTTGAAATTGCCTGGTATTTCCCAATATTTTACTAAGACTTCTCTCCTACAGAAGAGCTCAGCACTTCTTCGTTTTCTAAAAGTAAGTGATAAAGCCACAGACGAAGATCAAACTTTAAAATTTCTCCATTCTTTTTCTCACTGGAACTTGGAAAGAAACATAGCCTTCCAACACCCTGGTATTCCATCCAGGAGACGCAGTTCAAACCCAGTGACACAGAACTGAGCTCGCACACAATTTCCTAGAACTACAAATATTTTTCCGTTACGTTTTACATATTTTCAAACTGGATGCAATAAGCCGAAGGGAGGGTAAGAAAATGGTGCAACAAACAGCTGCTACAAGGAATGCAGCACTGAAAGCCTTTGGGGTTCCAGCCCTTTATCTCATCTACGTTATTTACAACGCCCTCATGGACCCCTGCAAACTCCACTTGGATTCAACGCAGTTTTTACATAGCACATCACTTTTTATCTGCCCCTTTCATCAATACTGCTGGTGTAAAGCTGCTTCTTGCTGAAGATGAAGCATCTCCAAACACTTTCAATTCTTGCCTACCCTTGCTAGTTTAAAAAAGGAGCACCAGCAGAAATCACCTGAGGGATGATTGTAGGGGGGATGGGGCCAGGCTCTGCTCGATTGTGGTCGGTGACAGGACAAGGGGTAACGTCCCTTGGAGTAACTGGGGTAAGTTGAACCCCAGGCAGTTCCATCTCCATGTGAGGAAGAACTTTCCTGTGAGGCTGACAGAGCCCTGGAACAGGCTGCCCAAGGATCCCGTGGAGTCTCCTTCTCCGGAAATATTCCAAATCTGCCTGGATGCCACCCTGTGCCCCGTGCTCTGGGTGTCCCTGCAGGAGCAGGGGTTTGGATTAGATGATCTCTAGAGGTCTCTTCCAACCTGACCATCCTGGGATTCTGTGATTCTGTGAAAAGAAATGCTTGCCTAGCAGTCCCTCAACACTACCCACCAGTCACTGACACAAGGTGAGGAAGGCTGCAGATTTTTTGGAATAACCACTTCCTTCAAAGCCAAAGTCCCAGACAGCAACAACGAAAGGGAAAGCTATTTGCAAATACACTTCAGATTTACCCGGAGAGCGGGCGCTCCTCCGTGCGGCCCAGTCATTGCTGGAGGATCTCTGCGGGCGCGGGCTGGTCCTCAGCGGGTTCCTCGAGCGCTGCGGGGGGCCCCGGGAGCGCCGCGGGCTGGGGCTGGCCGAGCTGGAGCGGCGCTTGGGCGTCTGGTTTTCTTTGCGCTCGACAGCATTTCTAAAGGAACAAAGGCACGGAGTGAGTTTCAATGCTTTTGAAGGCAGCAAGATTCATTTGCATCTGTGGAAATAAGAGTTCCTGCCAAAAAAAAAAAAAAAAAGGAAAAAAAAAAAGAAACCAAATCCAGCTAAGTATACAGAGACTAATTTATTAACAAACATACTTTAATCGGCAGTAAGAAGGCTTGCTATAGAAATTTAAGACAGACAGAATCGAAAGAGAAATAAGTGGGGGACAAAAACCTGCACACAGCAAGAAAAAGCTGCAAAGAAGGCAAGTCTGAAGTTACAGGCTGCAGTGCTACAAAAAAGTGCAGGAGGAGGAAAAGAATGAATGAAATTGAGACACGGACTAGGATATGTCTTGGTTCTTCATAATTTAGTTTGAAGCAGGAAATCTTGAGACAGCATCTCTGGAGGATCAATTCACACTGAAGGACAGATTTGAAAGGAGTGACACAAATGTGCACAACTCGCATATCTATGGTACTGACAAGTGTGAAGCAGATGCAGAACATGGCAAGAAAGACTGGGGAAGAGGTCGGTGAGACACGGAGCTGTCAGGCACCAGGGCAGTACGTTCTGTCGGTGCACATGCCCAAGGAGCCTGTAGGGAACTCCGGGACGCTGGAGATACACTGCTCATTTCCGAAACGGCCAGACACACGAGGAGAAGTGTAAAAGTAAAAAGTATAGCAGAAGCAGCCTCTGGCGCAACCGTTCCTTGAGGAAGACACAGGAAACGCAACCGCACAAGCGATTTCTGTTGAAAACCCACCAGAAACATGAGGAAACTGCCGACGTGGCACCCGCGCAGCACAGCAGCACTGCCTGGGAGAATAGTGCAGGTCCTTCAATGCAGCCTGAAGAGCAGTTTGCATTGTAACCGAAAAGCATCCAAGCTCGTTAAAGATAATTTGGAGAGGCACGCAAGAGCTTCCGCACGCAAGGAATCCCCAGACCCAGGCTCCTATCACCGCTCAGAACTCTGTGCGGACAAAGCTGCTTGGGATGATCTAATGAGAGGAGACAGGAGCCACGACGGGCAGCACAGGAGGCAGCTGCTGCCAGTGCCAGCTGCACCGGCAGGACAGATGGACGTCCCTCCGCTCTGCAGCACGCTCCTACCTTCCCCACGCAGCACGCCTTCCTGATGGTGTTTAATGAGCAACGTTCGAGTATCATCAAAAAAAATCCGCATAAATCTCCTTATTCTTGTAGGCATTGCTGCATTAAAAGCACTTTGCACCAGCGAACCTCAACAATTTATAAAAAATAAAGTGTTATGAAGAGAAGACTGTTGGAGAGGACCCAGCGCAAAGCAAGACGTGGGCCCTGCCCGCAGCTCCAGACAGCTGCCTGCGGTGACGCTGTCCTGGGACATGTTGTCACCACAGAAGGATTCGAGGCAGCATCACCCTAGAAACCACCCGCTGCCCCACCTGCGAGCACACGAGCTCACGCACAAAAAAGCAGCCTTGAACTTGCTTGCATTACCAAGCTCCTCTAGCCAAGGGCAGTTCTCATTCTCTGCATTCCTTGTAATCCCTGCTGCCGAGTGATGAGTGCTGCTATCTCACTCTGAGGTTTTCCAAACATAACTCTTCTCTCCATGAAAGACTCAGGAGTTACTCTTTGTTTAATAACACAGAAGGACCTTGGGTGCACTCTGCAATTAGCCTGACCTACATTTTGATCTTTTTGACACATCTTCGCACACTGAAGCTTCCCAGGAATTACACTGAACTAATTAATGGGAAGTCACAGGGCAGCTCAGAAAAAATAAAAGTGCTACAGCTCCTATTTGCATTCAAGCAATATATGTACAAATACTGAACCAGCAAAATAATCCCATCTCGCTGAGATTCAAGCAGCATTAGTCCACATGCTGCATTTTCAAAAGCAGTAACTAAACAGCGTAGTTTTTAAGGACAGAAGAGACAGGAGCTAATCTGCTCTGTGGGGTTTCAACTTGTGATCACTTGGCTTCCCAAGAACCTGTAGAACAGCCTAAAGAGCCTGTGAAACACAGCTAAAAAACACAATCTGTGGTTTCACGGTGCCAGCAAAAACAGCACTAGAAAACAAAAAGGCTGTTAAAGGTGGAAACCACCCAGGTGGTTCCTCACTGACCTAAAGCAGGTCCCCGTCTCGCCCCGGCACAGCTGCCCACAACATCACTCATGCAGCTTTCCTACAGAGTCCGTTCCCATGCGTGGGAAGCATTTAGACACCAAGCCACCTTCATATTTGAAGGATTCAAGACAAAAAAGCAGAGACCCCATACAGTTTACAAAGAAAATGCAACACCACTAACAAAGCTTATCAGTGAGCAAAAAAGGATAATTAATTGCAATGTTTATCTTATGGCTTTAGTAGCATCAACTAAAAATAACCTGCAATCAAAAAGCAGTTACCTCTTTGAGGAATGAGCCTCAGGATTCCAGTCGGGGTATCTGTTAAATGTGAAAAACACGATCGTCAGTGAAGGAGCTAGAGCTGCCCCCGAGCGCGTTTTCTGGCTGACATGCAGTGACTGTCCCGGACAAATGTCCCCAACAGGGCCTCGGAAAGCAGCAGGTGTCAGTGCCCCCTGTGCCCTGCCAGCCTCAACAGGGCCGGAGCAGCCCTCGGGAGGGCTCCATGGGCAGAGCAGCGCATGCACAACCCGCCTCTCACCACGGGAACTTGGCAAACATGGTTCTTACTGTTGACGTAACTGACAGCAGCTTTCGATGTGCGGAGGGGTGTTCTGGTGCAGGATCCAGTCCTGAGGGCAGAAAAGACAGCCACAGGCAGGGGATTTAGCGTGTAAAACGGAGCACTTGGCCAAAATGCACAATAAAAGCATCTTCATTTTCCGCCATTGCCGGCAAATTTTACCTAACATGATCTGATGTCACGTCCAGATTCCCAATTTAAATTATTACTCCTTATGATTATTATTCCTAAGGATGATGGCGGGTTGTTAGTAAATGCAAATGAATTTAAGTGGAAGTGGAAATGCACCACAAAAATAACCCCCTTCTTCAATCAACATACCACATGGTCATCACCACCATATTTTTAAATTCAAATGAATAGATCATATAGACCACTACACTTTAGAGAGAAAAAAAAAAGAAAAAAAAAAAAGGAAAAAAAAAACCGCAATTACCGGACTGTATAAATACACAGATAGCAAAATAAGCTGAATTAATCAAGTTTGAGAGGGAACCAGAAACAACACTGTATTTTCAAGGCAAAAATCATTCCTAGAGGCATAAATTTTCTTGCCTTAAACTCAAGAATCACTTGCAATGCCGTGTTCCAGCCAGAGATCACCAGAAGGATGTTGATGAAATCCCTACTTTCTACTCCTCATAAATTTATGCACAGAAAGAAAATCAAAAGAATTTTAACATGGGGAGCATTTGATGGGTTAAACATTGATCAAAGCCAGAAGGACGATGCGAGCCCTCATCACAACTTTAACTGCAAACACACATCCAGTCCTCACTCCAGCTAGAGAGAAAATAAATGTGGGTTTTTTTGTTTGTTTGTTTTGTTTTGTTTTAAGACTGGGCCACCAGAAACTCTATTAAACGACTTTTTTCTTCCACTAAACTGACTTGCTGGCCAAAGCGGCTGCTATAGCCAGTGTGCTAGTGAACAGAGATAACATTGGGCAGGCTGAAACTGTCAGGTATTGAGCATCACCAACAAGCAATACGAAATATCCTTAAAAATACAACTTCCACCTGCTTTAGGATCTTAACGCAGGCGTTACTGGCTGAATAACACAGCCAACACTGCTTTTATAAAGCCAGGCTTTATAAAATAGCTTGGTGTAATGAAATCACATATGATTCTTCCTAAGCGTACGCTGGCTGGTAACGTTAAAGATTACAAAATGTTTAGTTGGCTGAATCGAACTCTTGTGTTCTGCAATAAAGTGCTGAACACATCGGTCCAAAGCAATGCTTGTGATGGGTAACTTCAGACTTACAAGTTGGAAAAATTGATTTAACTAGCCTGGAGCTGGTTTTCTGCACTGCAGCAGCACAGAAAACTTGTGCTCACACCTCAACCTTCCAACCTCACCTGCAAGGCTGCTACCCACACTAGTTTAAGCAGCAGAGAACAGACTGTTTAAATAACTTAAAACCCACTTTAAACACAAGGCTCACTACCATTTTCTGAAGATACAGATAACACAGACTAACCAATCTCAGAAAAACGTGAAAAACATCACTGATGGTGTTCATTAAAATGTGTGAAGAGTTTAAATTCAGCTCGAAAGCTGCCCGGGGGCAGCCGCAACTCAGCCCCAGAAGTTCCAGCCGCTCAGCAGGTGCTCCGGAGGGCTCGCGGGCTCCACAGCTCGGAGCCACGGGCAGTTCTGTGGCTGCCAAGCACATGTGGCCCGAGAACATGGCTGCTCTGGGCCTGGACACGTAAGGGAGAAGGGAAAAAAAAAAAAAAAAGGAAAAGAGAGAAAGAACTACGGATTGAATGGATTGGTCTGTGGAAACGAGAGGAGGGAGGCTCCAGATCACTCCGTCGTGGCGCAGGGCGCTTAGGGAGGCTGCGCTGAGCTCCGGCGGCCCCGCGCACTGGCTAGGCCACAGCCCTGCAAGGGGACGTTCTTCCCAGCCAAAACCACCTTCCCTGCCGTGCCGGGTGCCGGGCTACCGTGTGCTGGCGCCCCAGGCATTTCACACAGCTATAGAGGTCTCGCTTTAGGGCTCCTCCTCTTGGAGTCACTCCTCGCCCTCAGGAGAGCTTTTCTCCGCTCAGAAAGCTGGGCCCCGACGGCGGCAGCGCCCCGGGAAGCAGGGGAGGGCCGGATTCCTGGCGCAGGGCCCTGCTGTGGGACAGGCCCTTCCATCGCAGTGTTACCCAATCCTGCGTGACCTGCAGCGCTCTGGTTGTTTGTGCCAGGCCAGCTGGAGCGCGACTGGAATCCTGCTGAGGCAGGAGCTGATGGGGAATAACGAAAACCTTCACAGCCTCCAAGCTCAGCCTTCTGCCAACAATAAAACAGCAGTAACACGGAGGGGAGAGCATCTGCCCGGGCTGTCCCGGCTTCGCAGCGAGACACCGCATAGGAAAACTGGGAGGGACCAATCTGGAATCACGTTTGGTTTCCCGACTTCGGCAGTGTAATCCCCTCCACAGGGAACGCCACGTCCACAGGACCTCGCACCACCCAACGGCCAAGCAGAACTGGTCCTTCAAAATCCTCTAAATATCATTCAGTAAAATAACAGCTGTGATGCAGAGTGTCTTAGCCACGAGTTTCTTCGAAGCATGATCCTTCTTAGATCTACTTTGTTTCTGCAGTGATGTGTTCAAAGACACACAAACCATATTGAATTATCCAAAGGTAACCAGAACATCACATTGGGAGTAAAACCAGTCTGTGTTCATTAAGCTTCTGAGGCTTTTTGCAATAGAAAACAATTTCTTGTTCTGGAAAACACGAATATATTTGAAAGAAGATCAACATCGAGTTGAGATTCTAGGGTAAACTAGATTTAACTCAAGGCAAAATGACTTTTTCATCAAAAAAGGGTTCAGAACACAGACGCACAAATTTGCAATGAGGAAGAGCCCCTTCCGGATCAATGTCATCTTAGTGTCAATAAATTTTCCAATATTCTTCCCTTCTAAACTGTTAAAAATTGGCACACACCTTCTGGACTAGCTACAGGGAGCAAGAGCTTTCCTGGCCCAAGACGACAGAAGCTCCGGTCTGCTTTCACCATCCACACACCCGACGTGCTCCAAGAAAATGGGTTTTCGACTTCACGGTAGTCACCATTTAACACACATTGGCAGGCAGTTTTGGTCAAAAGAAATGGGTGTTTTTAAGCCCATTACATGAAACGGCTACAGGACTCGCCGCACTGTCCCAAAAGGCTTTCTGCGGTGCTCATCCTGCGACATGGTGTTTCACAGGATGGTTGTACCTTACAAAAAAAGTTGCAAAGCTTGAAAGTCTCTGTTTTTCAAAGGCAGCCCTGTAGCAGCAGCCATGCAGATGCAGGCACAAATCTAGCTTCTGAGCAGTGCATTATCAACAAAGTGGAAGTCGAAGGAGGAGTTCAGGATTCTTTTCTGACTACAAAAGGACTAGAAAAAATACATACATGAGTATGTGCATGACACTCAGAATATAAAGCTTTTATATGCATCAAAAAAAAATTAAAGGCCATCTTCAGCTTTGATTTCATCAATGTCATTAATTAAGCAAAGCTAAACACTTAAAAAGACCTGCAGGGAGAACAGTGTGGATGCTCTGGGGAACTGCAGGAACACTTTTTTTACTCCAAGAGTCAGTTTTCCACCGCAGTTACTGGAGATGAGCTGGAGATGAAAGCTCAAAGAATATTGCAGAGGGTGCAAATATGAAGCTCTAGCCACTCGTGGTCACAGATAGCCAGAGCAGCCAGCTGCAGGAGCTTGTTGGTTCAGGAAAACAGCTTCAGTTAGTGCCAAAAGGCAGCACAGCTTCTGCTTCCACCTTGACAGGGAAATGGAATCCTGGATGAGTTTTTAATTCTGAACAAAACTGGATTAAAAGAATCTCCAAAAAAAGCTAATCACATACAACCTGAATATAAAATCCATCAATTTAACACTGCTGAAACTTGTTGGACATCCAATCTCTTCTGCAATTTGAGGAAGTGAAGATTTTTTCATCTGACACCTTCCATCCTTTTTGTAACCCATGGGCAGTTTTGCATCGTCCTGAGCTATTCCCTTAATGGTGCCAAGTCTGTGCAACCTGCCGTATGGCAAAGGCAGCTCTTTATATCACAGCCTTCCTAAAGCTCTTCCACGATTTGATGCTGCGCACCCGCATTTATCCTGTCTAATCACTTTGTCCCAGGAACAACCATGAAGGTACAGTCCATCCACAGAGGCACCAGGACCCCGCCGAGGTAGCTTGGTATTCCTTCTCCACCGGGATGCAGCAGTGGATGGCAAGCAAGGACATGACAAGGCAGAGATGAACCCAGAAAATGATGCCAGTCTCCAACCATCTGCTGCTTGGGGGCTTCAAGCCCCCAGAGAGCTTTGCGGAGCCTTCAAAGGATCTTCTTTGAATTTGCTCAGTTATTTCCAAACTAAGATTCCAAAACATAGTGGCAAATAGTACTCGAGCTCTACGCAAGGCTATATTATTCCCTAGCCAGCTTCTTCAAGCCACTCATGATTTCATGGACTTCTCCTGTATCATTTCCCCCTCATCTCCTTTCCAGTTTGTAGGTGCTGTTTCACACACTGCCCTTTATAACACTGAGCAAAACTTTAAAGGCAAAACCTAGATGCCCAGAGCAGCTCTAACCACGCATCAGGACAAGGAGGTAAGAACTTTATTTGCAAAGTGGAACTGTAGGAGTGAAAGCAAGAGGAATTTTTCATTCCTTCCTACTTGCAAGCACACAGGACTAACTTCCTGAAGAAAGTTTATTCTTTGCATTAAATAAAATCCACACTCTAATTCTTCCGGTTATTTTGTAACAGTCGCCTAAAAATGGCTTGTCCATGAAGTGTCAAGGAAGTCCCAACTGTCTGCTAAGTAGTAGGCAAACACAAACAACAACGACAATCACCACAACTAGTATTTGGATTAGAGTTAATACACGGCAGAGCTAGAAGCAGCCACGACAGGGAGAAAAGCTTGTGCAGCTGCAGTGGGGTCAGGCAGCCTGGAGCACGCACGTTACACTGCAGTGCTATTAGGACAGGGAGAAGTTATAGCCCTTGGTCTCCCCATAAAAACTCATAGCTGCTCCTTCAGTAAGTATTTTTAGTAAAAATATTTACTTAATTTCAGAAAGCAGTGGTCGTAAGCTACCGAATAATTCACATTTAAATAGATTAATGAGACAAAACCCTTTGGAAAAAATACATTAACACAAATGCAAGTTTGTCACCATGTTCAATTTCAGACATTTCTCTTTTAAATCAAACTCCCCATTAAGCTCTCAAGGCTGAATGAACAGCTGCCCTTTCTCCTGGGCCTCTATGCACGGTGCAGAAGTACTTGAGATCGCATTTCTACTCAGAAACCTCTAATCCAGCTGTCATCATTGCAACTATTCACTCACTTCTATTAAGATGCAGCATGAATAACATCTAGAAATCTTATATAATTTTGACACATTGAAGAGAGGAAGGAAAAAAAGAGAGAGAGAGATTTCCTCCAGGCTCTCCACATTTGGCAGAGACTATTTTAACACATGTGAAATTAATAATGAATTATAATTTTTAATTATATTACTCTGAGTTTTTGACATACCAAGCCTAGATCTTTCAAGAAAAATCTACAGTTTTCACAATATTCACCAATTTCTTCCTTTTTTTTTTTTCTTCAAGAGCTGAAACAGTTACTTACTTCCTAGGCTGCCCCAGCTTAGCTGAACGGGGCGTTTTGTGCATCCCTCACAGAGGGCCCTTAGTCGCTGCAATACGCAGTGCTGCGCAGACTGTGCCTGCAGATTGATTTTGCAGATAAATAGGCTGCTTTGTTTAACACACACTTCACAAGAGTGAGGCTGAATAGCTGAAAACATCATCTACATTCATAAGCTTCAGCATAAATTTTTTGTGCCTTTTTCGGTCACCAAAACCATTTCAGTCAGTATTTTACACCCCCGATAAAAGTGTCAGCTTTGTAATTTTAAAGCCAGTGCAAAAAACTTGGGGTGGGGGAAGGGGGTTGTTTCTTTGTTTTTTCAAATATGAAAGAGTACCCCATGTGCATGGCAACGCTGAAATAAAACTACAAAGGTAACAGTCAGGGCAGCCAAGTTGTACTTATTTACCAGCATTGTTTCTAGTCTTTTAAGCCTTGCATGTAAGCACTCAAACAGGAGCACAGTACGGCAACTCATTTAATGCCCAAGTCAAATAAATTAGTTCCCAGAGCACTGCAGAAGGTAAGATGCTGCGCACAAGCTTAGGCAATAATCTCCAAAAGCCACTCACCTTCATATGAGTGCATTCAATGTTACACAGAGAACACATATGTGGGAATATTCGTGGCGATGTGGCATAGTAGTCATTCATCATCGAGGGGGTGGGCAACCTTTTGATCTTCTGGGCGTCCGGCTGGGGGAATGCAGGAAGCCAAGGCGCTTTCACGAGAGCAAAAGGAGACTTGAGGGGCCCTTCGGTCTGCGTCGGGAAGGGCTTCTGGCCCGCTCCCGAGACACTCGGCACCCCGGCCACGCTCGGCCCGGATTCCTGCGGAATTCTCTCATGCTGGCTTACAGCTGCAAGGAGCTCCGCTGAAAAGGGTGGCTGGGGCAGGGGTGGCATCACATGCTGGGTCACAGGCTGCTGCACTAGAGGTGGCATCACAGGCGGCATCATCGGCTGTGCCAAGGGTGGCATTATAGGTGGCATCATCGGGGGGATGACCGACGGAACCGCGGGCTGCGACACCGGCTTCACCACGGAGAGCCCGGCAGGTGCGCACAATCCAGACACCTTCCCGGTCGCCTCCGCTGCAAAGAACGACCGGCTATTGGAAGACTCATTCTGGAAACCCATCTGTTTCATCAGCTCCTCAACAGGAAACACTGGGTTACACGGCACACTGGGCTGCGGGACACCCATGGACATACTCTGATCCCGCGGGAAGTCTTCCCTGCTCTCTCCACTTGATACTTCGGGATTATAGACACGCACTTCCAGAGGATCCTCAGTTGGTACTTCAGGATTGTAAACACACACCTCAAGAGGATCTTCAGTGTAACCGTATTTGCTTGCATGACCGTAATCAATCACTTTGCTCTTGACTGCTGGACCACTCGCACTGCCAACTGCGTCTTTCCCTCGGCTCCGAGGATGCAAGGTGGACAATGGCCTGCCCATTTTCCGCAGCCTTATCTCTCTCAGGATCAGCGGCATATTCTCAGGGGTTAGCTGCTCATCGGGATAGCGACTGAGCTCTTCCAAATCTTCATTGGACAGCCCAAAGCTCGCCAAAATGCTGGATGCGCTTTCTGTTGTGTACCGGTTCTGGGCATTGGAATTCTGCTCCGGGATCCGTGCAGAAGCAGGCAGCTTTTGCCCGGTTGTCCCGCCAGCTGTGCAGGGGCTGCTGTCCCAGCGACTCGTACGACCTTCTCCCTTGTGCTCTTGGTGTAGGTTTGTCTTCTCTTTTACCTGCCTCGGATCAGCTCTGTGCTGAGTTACCTGAACATTCGTCCTCTGCGATCCCGTCCACTGAAACATTTCCTGTCCCGAGAATCGCGGTGCCATCCCTTGCGGCGCTCCAGGGACCGGCTTTCTCTGCAGCCCTGCCGTGCCCCCTCCCCTAAAGGAGCCTTGAGGCTTTGTGCCAGCTGGATTAGGTCCTCTCGGCCTCTGAGGTAAAGTTCCTCTAGGGCTAAACATCGCGATTTTCAGAAACGCCTGATTTAACAAAGCATAGGGAGCCGCAGAACCATTTGTGGCAACTGAGGTCAACTGCTGAAGAGCCAACTGGGTCTTAATTTGTGCAAGCTGTAAAGGAGGAGGGCCCAACAGAAGCGGCCTTGCAAGGCCAAGGTTCAAGGAATTCACAAGTGGTGCGAAACTTTCCAAGAATAACACAAAGCTGAAAGTTAAAAGACAAGTATTAGATTATTTTATCTTTTCACCTACTTTACGCAGTGGATTCTATAGCCAGTGAGAAAAACATGTGAGGTCATAAAACCCCATTTCAATGGCAGCTTTAAATGATAGCTTTTTTAAATGGCAGCTTTTTTGAACTTGATATTCTCTTCGACAAGACCATTTTCTTTTGCTGTATAAAATCATATCCACCAGATCATTTTACCAAACAAGTTCAGTCTCACACAATGTATCTAGTTGTTATATTTTTCTACAGTATTTTCTAAATAAACTGACATTTTAATTCTAAGTGACAACCCTTTGGATTTCTTTAAACTCAGAGCTATTTTCTAAGCAGTAAGCCAAAGTATCAGAAACATCTCCAAATGTTTACAAGCATGAATTATAAGTTAAATCACTATGTAGAAAATTCCAACCAGTCCCAGCTTGGATGTTAAGTCATTGTGGAATCAATTTGAAGGCAGCGGGTAAGTTTGCAGAAAAGGCACTCCCATAACTTCTCTCAGGGGTAAGCTACTATACTCTGAAAGCATTTAGAGGGTGTGGATTTTTGAGTTTTGTGGCTAGAAAATTTCTTTTCCAGCTGTTAAAGGCAAGATCTTCATATTGAAATTGAAATAGAAAGGTGTAAAAACAGCTAAAAACTGAAACTATTCACATTCAAGAATAAAACATGCACAATGGCAAGGGAAACTACCATCTTTTATTTCAGCTGAAATCACTTGGAATTCAGTCCTGCAAGGTGATAAAGGAACATATAAACACAGGGAAAAAAAAAAAAAAAAGTGAGGCCCAGATTAACAAAATATGAAATACTACAGAGCTTCAGAAACCATGTTCCTCATGCGGATGCACAAACTTCAGCAGCTCTTTGACACCTCATCTGCACAGTTCTGCCTGCATTTGCAATGCCCCAACACCAGGAAGGTTCAGAAGGACCCCAAGAAGTCCTTAACTCCCACCCTTATCAATCCGCAGCCTCCTGAAACTGGATAATCTGATGGTTCCAATGGCTCCAATGAGCTTTGCTAGCAGATTTCCACTAAGTATGACCCTAATAAAAGCAACTAGGGACATCTGCAAGTTGTAAGCTTGCCTGCTGTGTTTCTGGAGCAGTGAGGTTTGAAGTTCATTCAAGCTGACTTAAAAAAAAATAAGTAAATGGAGGCGCTTCTCTTGTGTTTGTAATTTGTAAAGGTTAAAGGTCTCAAGTTCGAGAACCACAGTTCAACAGACAACCAAAGCTCTCACTTGAAAGCCAAAAGCCACATACAAGCAAGAGTTTCTGTTTCTAACGATCAATTTCTGGGTTTTGTCAGTACCTATAGGTGAAGCATGTCTGCAAGTTCCACTGATAATTATTTTAGCTACATAAAACCTGAAGTCAGTCCAAGGAGAAGCAGTAGCTACAGAAACTTTATGTCTCCTCTTCACCACAGAAAACATACAAAGTCATCATAAAGGGGAGATTCCCATGGGACCCAATATCCTTCTTCGTGAAGCACATCAATCATATGTAAGTGGTACCTCACGCTAGTCCAAGCTTATTCTACAAGATGACAAAACAGACTATTATCCAAATGTTCACAGAGCAGACTCTGGTCTTTCAAAGTTCTTCCCTACAGCTCTCAACACATTAACCTGGGAAGCACCTGGGAGAGCTTAGGAAAATGATATCGAAGCCATCGATAACAAACCAAAAATACATTAACAGAAAACACTTAAAAAAACAAGCATGCAGTGGGGCAAAGAGAGCCTTAATTGCACAGATTAGGAAACAAACAAGTTAGAGCTCTGCAAATCTCTCTGCAGAGTTTGAAGACCATTAACACAGTCACAGATGGTGATCTGGGCAGCAGCAAGTAGAAAAAGACAACCAGGGTACTGCGTTGGTCATCTGATAGCAGATGTTTCCGAGATGGCTTTTGTTTTATGACAATTTTTATGACAACTATCA